ATATCTCCACTTGGATGTATTAATAGACGTCGTAAATCTAGCCCCAAACAGTGCTCCTAATTTGAAAGAATTTTGACTCCTTCAAAATTCCTCACTGCAGTGAACAAATAGTAACTCCGTCCTTCCAGCTGCTCAGCCCTACAACCTTGGGAGTTGTCCTTATCTTTTTTCCACACCCTACACTTGCCAGCAAACACTTTGGCTCTATCTTCAAAATATATGCCAAACCTGATTGCTTCTACCACCTCCTCTGTCATCACCTAAGTCCAGGTTTCTATCATGTCTCCCGTGGATTAACTGAGAAACCTTCTAGCTATGCTTCTGACCTTGACCCCATCTGTCTATTCTCAACACATCCAGAGTAAGACCTATCACACTTAAATGAAACCATGTTATTCCTTTGCTTGGAGGCCCCCAATACCATCCCATTTCCCACTCAAAGTAAGAGCTAAAGTCTCCATAGTGAGGCATAAGGCCCGTGTGACCTGACCCCTCTCACCTGCCCTGTCATTCTTCCTCTCTCATTGCTTCAGCCATGCTGGCACCCTGATGTTTCTGAACATACCAAGTATGGCCCCAGCTGAGGGCCTCTGCATTTGCTCTTCTCTCTGCTTGAGTGCTCACCCTTTCCCCCTCACCCGAGATACAACAAGGCTCAATCTCCTCCCAACTCCTTCAGGGTTTTACTCAGATGTCACCTTAACATTGAGACCTTCCCTGACCACCCTATGTAAATTGTTCCCCCTCCTCCACTAGCTCTTTCCTTATCCTCGTTTTGCCTCCTTAGCACTTCTCACTGCCTAACTAATATCTATTAGTTATTCATTGTCTCCCACCAAGATGTAAGCTTTCTAAAGGCAGGGACTTCTCTGCCTTACTCACTGATGTACCCCTAGTGGTAGGTGCTTAATAATCTATAGTTGTTGAATAAGTGAATGAATAAATCCCGGAGGCTTTAGAGCAGGAGAGCCTACAGAAAGTTTTGCAACCAAAGGAGAAAAGCTGCAGATTTGCATATCCTGGCACTAGGCCAGGATCCACTCCACAACTGGGTTTAGCTGAGCCAGACCCTGATGGAACCCTCAACCCCACCAGTCACCTCACATGTGGGCCAGTGCAGTCCAGTCCTGCTCCGGATGAAAAATGACAAAGCCCATACCTCTCATCACGTCAGGTACTACTGCATTTCAGTGCCTCATGCTTTGGGGGAAAGTTAAGATAAGGATGGCACTGGAATTTGAATAAGGCCTGTATGTCTCCACGCTTAATTATTCTTTTCAAAACTTGACTATGTCATTTGCTAGTTTGCATCCTGACTGGGTCACACCCCTTTGTACTGGAAGGGACCCTGGAAGTGAGTGGGTGGGGGGACCGCCTAGGGTGATGAGAACCTGATCAAAGCAGGCCCAAGAAACAGCATCAAGTTTTTTTGTCAAAGAATACTGGCCCTCAGAATTCTTAGAGAACAGGAGAAAAAAGAAAACAAGATATACTTTTTCCCCTAAAGAATTTCATTATGTGCTTTGGCACATTTATTTGTGAGTCACTCCCCACATTTATCCTGGGCCAGGATCATTTTTTTTTTTTTGAGATGGAGTCTTGATCTGTCGCCCAGGCTGGGGTGCAATGGCACGCTCTAGGCTCACTGCAACCTCTGCCTCGCAAGTTCAAGCTGGGACTACACGCGCGTGCCACCACACCTGGCTGATTTTTGTATTTTTAGTAGAGATGGGGTTTCGCCATGTTAGCCAGGCTGGTCTTGAACTCCTGACCTTAAGTGATCTGCCCGCCTCACCCTCCCAAAGTGCTGGGATTACTGGCATGATCACAGAGCCCAGCCCCGGGCCAGGATCAGCTGGAATGAGTGGTGATTTCATTTCCCCTGAGATGACAGAGCTGGCTTACCATTTACTTTTTTAGAGGCTGGGAAATGTCTTGGTCTTTTTTCTTCTAGGCTGATCTGAGCAGATTCCCAATTATCAACTGGGAGCAGAAATATTCTGCTTCCAACTAAATGGCCTTGCCTGCTCACTCTTACTCCCTATTCACACTCTCTTGGAGGCCACTTTGTGATTCTACCAAATCCTATAGGAGAGGTGACAACTCCAAAGAGGAGGCTCTAGAAAGATGACATTTGGAAATGTGTAAGCTACTGCCTGCTAGCTTCCCCTGAGCCACTTTTACCCTTTGATTGAGATGAAAGGCCACCTAACTGCCTAAATCACCACAAAGGGACAAACTAGTATCTCAGAGCAGTTCGCAACAAAAACAAGCTAAGCCTCTGCACTGCAATGTGGCAGGGCTTCTGGCTAGGTAGAGCAAGCAATCGTGATGTGGAGACACAATGCAGCAAAGGGAATGAGATGCCAATGAAGGATTCCAACAGTTGGGTCTGCAAGTATGCTTGTCCTATGACACACACAGCCTCGACATCGCTGCTCACTGGGGGAGTCAGAGAAACATCAGCCCTTTCATACCCCCTTGCCCCTGAGCACAGCTCATCTCCCAAGAGCACATCAGCCTGCAACCCAGTGTGATGAGAATCACAGTAATCCCCTGTGCCAGTGGCGGCCTCCAAGCATCCTGAAAGTGCTTCCTAGACACGGAGTGGAAGCCATGACTTCCCCTAAGCTGCCAGTGCTGCCTCTGAACTCACGCGGAGGTTCTTTTCTCGGTGTCCCCAGAGGCAGTAGAAAAATCCATTTTCCATTTTGGAATCTATCAAGTAGGACAACTCTGCCACCTGGGTGCATCTTCTCAAGGGCAATCTCTACTCCCTTTCCTACATGGCCTGACAATACCGCTGAGTTAGAAATGTCCCATGTTGGCTGGGCACAGTGGCTCACGCCTGTAATCCCAGCACTTTGGGAGACTGAGGTGAGAGGATGGCTCAAGGCCAGGAGTTTGAGACCAGCCTGGCATACAGAGACTGCACCTCTAGTATTTTAAAGAAGAAATGTCCCATATTTTTACCCACTTCACTCAACTTTCCACCTTGCTCCAATAGATTGCTGACAAAAAAGTGAGACCTCCTCCACTCTGAGGTCTCCTAAGAGAATGCTGCCAGCCAAAACAAGATCTGCTGATAATTGAGGAAGAGCATCTTTAAAAAGACGCTCAACTATATTTCCGAAACATAAAGATCTAAGTGTGGGCTCTATGAGGGAAGAAATAAAGAGAAAGAACATTTTTTCCTCCTACAACAGGTCTAGACAGTGCCATACAAGGAGTTGCACGAATATCCAAATCAAAAGCAAGGCAAAAAGAAATAAGCAAAAAAGCAACAAATGCATTCCAAAATGATGTCCATTTCTCAGCCCAGAGATGTACCAGGTACTGGTTTAGTTCAGCCTGCAGGTGCTGGGAAGAAATTCACAAATCCAAGTCAGTTGCAAAAAGGGAAAACTCCATACATATCACCCAATGAACCTCTAAGAAAGTATATGAGCTTCTCTGAACAGATTTTACTCCAGGTTTGCAGCCCACAAGGTTTAAGATTGGACCATGAGGTTAAATCTTGTAAACTCAGAAGTGGTCAGGCTACTGCCTAAACTTTGTAATTCTCTACACACCCTTTAAAGCAGTGTTTCTCTGCATCTTTCATTCCAGTCATTGTCCACCTGATCCAAAATATCCTAAATTTTTCAATGTTTGGAAGCAGGGTTTCCAATTTTTGTGTATACAGAAAAGGAGGGAGGGGGTGAAAAATAAGTCTTTGAAAAAGAACATGCTACGTATCTATCACAGAAATATGAGTGGGTAAGATTTAGAGGATTGCTGAAACAAAGCCAATACTAAGGTCTACTGGTTGGCTGCAACAAGTTTAAGATGTCTTCATAAGGGCCCTGGTTGGGGAATACTATACTTGCTTACAGTAAGCTTGGGAACTGCTACAGACCTGTGGCAAAGAGCTGTTCAGCTTCTCTAAAAGGCTGCTATTAACCACCTTCTCTAAAAGGCTGCTATTAACCACTGGAAGAACTAAGAAGTTCAAGGCCAAAATATCAAAATGAACCAACCACTCTACCTGCTGAAAATAAAAGTTTCTTTACCCCAGACATTTGCCCAAATCTTTTTTTTTTTTTTGAGATGGGAGTCTCGCCCTGTCGCCCAGGCTGAAGTGCTGTGGCACAATCTTGGCTCACTACAACCTCCACCCCCTGGGTTGAAGCGATTCTCCTGCCTCAGCCTCCCAAGTAGCTGGGATTACAAGCGCACACTACCATGCCCAGCTAATTTTTGTATTTTTAGTAGAGACGGGGTTTCACCATGTTGGCTAGGCTGGTCTCGAACTCCTGACCTCAAGTGATCTGCCTGCCTCGGCCTCCCATTGTGCTGGGATTACAGGCGTGAGCCACTACGCCCAGCTTGCCCAAATCTTATAATTTCTTTTCTCCTCTCTGAGAGACCTCCAGAGGCCCAAACTTTAATAGAATCTGAGAGAAAAAAGTGGCCAGTCTATCTGCTGTCCACAGTGATGCCAAACTCTTCCTCCTGGAGCCAGTTTTCCCTGTTGGGCAGTCAGGTGAGGATCTAATTATGAACAAACTCTACTTGGGTCTCCCTGGAAGAGTTTGTGGCTTCAACAGCCTAGCTCATGGGGGCTCATTATGTCAGACTAGCTTTTTTTTTTTTTTTTTTTTTTTAGACGGAGTCTCTCTCGATTGCCCAGGCTGGAGTGCAATGGGGTGATCTTGGCTCACTGCAACCTCCGCCTCCCAGGTTCAAGCGATTCTCCTGCCTCAGCCTCCTGAGTAGCTAGGATTATAGGCGCGCGCCACCACGTCTGGCTAATTTTTGTATTTTTTTAGTAGAGACGGGGTTTCACCATGTTGGCCAGGCTGGTCTCAAACTCAGGATCTCGTGATCCACCCACCTCGGCCTCCCAAAGTGCTGGGATTACAGGCGTGAACCACCGCGCCCAGCCTTGTAGTTGCTTTTAACCAAAGAGGTTAAGCCTCTGTACAACCAAGAGGAAGAACTATAATTAGAAAACTTACCAATTGCCCCAGCCAATGAGAATCCATTTCCAACAGGTACTAATGCCTGTTAGAAGCCACTGGAACACTGACATCATCAGCCCAATTGATAGGTTGTCTGATAGATTCGCCCCCTTCATCACACACAAGAATTTAAAACAAAACAAGACACTGCAGTTATATTCATTATTGCAGACAATGGGTTTCTTTATGTTAGTAATTGAAATTACTGCTGCGGTCTGGATTCCACCATTACTCCCTCTGCAGCCTGTGAGGCTGGCCAACACTGTAAACTTCCTAGCCCTAAAAATCGTAATCCAGAATGCCACCTCAATACAGCCCTCCACTGTGAAACTGAATGCCTTCTGGGGTACAGCATGAAACAGTTTTAGACAGTGCATGCCAGTGCACCTTGAAACAGTCAGTGTCCTTCCATCTGTAATGAAATCTGTGTAACGGGAAACTTGAGTCAATTCATCGTTTAAAGCAGATCTACTGGCTCATACCTTTCTCTAGGAAACAATAAGTGAACAAGAAGTAACCTCAGAAGAAGAAAGAACTTTGGGAGAATGCACTGAGAAAAGCCAGACTGAGTCTCCTTGGATGAAGTTAATTAAGGAACAAACATGACAGGATATTGGAATCACAACCAAGGAATGCAGTGAGGACAGGTTTCTCAGTTGCCCAGAGAAGACATAGTTCCTTTTGAACTAAAATTAGAAAGCCGCTGAGAAGGAAACATAAGAAGCATGGGTAAGAAGCTGAAAACCTAAGTCAGCAAAGGGGATGGAGGTGTGTTGAGGAAGAGAGCAAGTTTCTATTTTGTTTTATTTCTTCTGTTAATTCCTTAAGATTGTTTGCACCTGAGCTTTGGGATTGCAGCAGTCTCCCCCACCGGGCGTCAGGTTAACAGGCCGGGAGCCCTGACAACAAGTTCTAAACTTCTCATAATTCTGTAAGAGCTGGCAGATATCTAGTTGGAGGCTCAAGGATCCAAGTGCAAACATTAAAGGAAGGTTTTTGCCCACTACCCAGTGAGAGGCGATCTGCCCGGGGAGTGCCCTCGTGTCCTGACACCATCTCCCGATTAGGATACACTGGTAACGGGGCTGGCGTCGACGCCCAGCAGTGCCCATCTGGTTGACAGCGTCCGGGTCTCAAGCGTTCCCTCGCCCCTCTCTGTACTCCCGGGAGCCCTGAATCGCTGGTAGGCATCTACAGTTAAGAGTGCAAGAAGGCCCCTCAGACACGGGGCGAGCACGAGGGCTATAGGCTGCCTCCTCGAAGCACACTCAGGCATAGTCCGCCCAGGCGGGCGAGCAGTTTCGAGGTGGGTCGGCACCCAGCTGAGGGGTGCCAGGCCGCCCCGGTGCCCGCTCCTCTCGCTGGCCCCCGGAAGCGCCGCCCTCCCGCCCGGCGGGCTCCGAGGGGGCGGGAGTCGAACGCCCCCTTCCGGGTGCCTCCGCCCGGCTGGCCAGCCCCGCTCCTCCTCCGGGCGGGAATCCTCCCTCCCCCGCCCCTCCCGAAGCCGGGCCCCGGCGTCAGGCCCGGCCCCAGGGGGGAACCCCCTGCCTCGGCTCCCCCTCCCCGCGGCCTCTGCCCGTCTTCCTGACCCTTGGGGGCCGGGAAGACCCCGCCGGCAGCGGCCGGGACCCACCGCTCATTACGACATCTTCCTCCCTGGCCTCCGCCGCCTCCGCCGCCACCGAGAGCCTGACACCGCCCGCCTAGCACCCGCCAATCCCGGAGCCCGCCACCGCCCGAGCGACGGCAGCCTTCACCAATAAGCGCTTGGAACATTGGGGACCGACAGCACTACTAACCAATCAACCAGAGGCGTCTAGAGCGACGTTAACTTGGCCAATAGGTCTATGCAATGTCACTGATTGACGGTAGAACCCACCAACCGGAAGCCAATTGGGGAATGAACGACATGTTCGCCAGCCAATTGGAGGGAGTCAAAGTCCCGCCTACTGGGTGGTTGATGGACAGCAACAGGAAGCTGGAAGGGGAGGGGCTTAGCCGAGGAGTGCTTTTGTATTGGTCGTGGTTGACCTTCCACCCACCTCTAACCCAGAGGATGAATGATAGATTTGCCCTGAAGCCAATCAGAAATCCTTAGGGTGAGGCCCACAAATGCCACATAAATAGCATATACATTGCGCCTTAAGTACAGTCTCTCCTAGGTGTGGTAGGAGCTTTCACGTGCTTTTCGGCAGTAGCTGGCTGCCACTCAACCCCATGCCTGGTGAGTGGAAAGCCACCAACCTTTTATTTAGTTTCTCGCTCGTCATCGCCTCGGGAGGGGCGACTTTGTACAGTAAAGCACTGGGGTCCGGCACCATAGTGGGAGTTGGGATTGTTACGCGACGCTTCTGAGGGCATTTTCCCAATCGGTTAAAGCTCCCGTTAATCCTCACATGGTTATTACGGTGACCCCCCATAGCCCACAGTCCCTAACGTGTGCATCTGAATCATGTAGT